AGGCTGTAACGACGACGCGTACAAGTGAGTCTGCTGTTTTCTGTAAAAAAATGAAAGAGTTCTGTTCCTCTGTACAAGTACAAGTTGGTTCAAGCTCTTGGACGACGCATACGAGTGAGTTGGCTATTTGTGTGAAAGATTGTACCAATATTTTACTGTAGAGCACCAGGGTTGGTCACTGCGTAAAGTAAGTCGTGTTTCTCCTATCTCCGTCTGCCCCAGAGATTAAGAAAGGTGGCAATCTCTCCGCCTTGTCCTCCGGTCATCCCCCTTTCATCCCCCGTCCCTCCTCAATCCCCCCATCCCTCCTCAATCCCCCAGTTTCCCCCTTCCCGTAACTCCTCCCAACAGTCCCCTATGGCCCGCGCGTGGACCTGTTAATCCGCAGCCACGTGTCGGACGCGTCCTTCCTGCTGGAGATGCTGTTCGACAGCATCGAGCAATCTCCCCCACCCTCCGTCTTCCCGTCCTCCCCCCTCCTCCCCCCCCACCCCCACCCCCCCCTTCCACCACTACCAGGCCCTTATGGCCGGCTCGAGTGGACCTGTTAATCCGCAGCTACGTGTCGGACACGTTCTTCCTGCTGGAGATGCTGTTCGACAGCATCGAGCAGCTGTGGCCACGTGGCATTGGTGACGTCATCCTGGTGCTGGACGAAGACAACCAGATCGTGGAGGACATCGTGCCCACGTGGATCAAGGTGAGTCACCGCGAGTCAACGCAGGTCAACGCAGGGTCAAGCCGAGTAATTTACGGCACTACAGAGAATAGGCCATTTTGATTTTAGGGGCTCTGACCAAAAAAAGAAGAGGTAGACAATCCCTTAGCGCGAAAGACACCGAGATTTCGGGCCAAGCACGTGTGGAATCCTGCCAAAAGTATTGACCAAAAGTATTGATTACATGTGCTGCCTGCCTGGTTACCACAATCCCGCCGTGTAACCCTTGCTGCTTCCCTGCCCGAATCTCGCCTCAATTGCCAGGTGTACTACGAGAAGAACTACCTGAAGCTTCCTGGAAAGATCCTCCAGCAGTGGAGCTACCTGTGGGCGGACAACTACACCACAGCGCCGTACATCGCCATCATTGACGATGACGTCATCTTCAACCTCAAGGTGCGCCCATCATGGTTGTCGTCGTCATCATGCTTGACGCCGAGTTGGCTTTTGAGGATCTCTCATAAACCAACGCTCAGACTATAGCATGGCATGTTGATACCAACGGAGTATGTATAATTCCATTCAACCCTATCGGACGGCAAAGCCGTACGTTATAAGCAGCACGCAGAAGCAGGTGAACCATTGAATGCCGGCCCAGCCCACGCACCCATGTGACACACCCCGCTCAATCCACTTCGTCAGATCTCGCCCACCCTCATTCTCCAGGTGACCCCAGGCCTCCTGTTCAATCTCACGGACGGCAAGCCCTATGTGATCGGCAGCCGGCAGAAGCAGATGAACCACCGGGTGCTGTCCACGCACTACATGACCCCAACAACCCCCCCTCCCCCTTTTTATCTGTCGCATCAGGTGACTCCGGGCCTCCTGTTCAACCTGACGGACGAAAGCCCCTACGTGATCGGGAGCCGGCAGAAGCAGATGAACCACTGGGTGCCGTCGACGCACTACTTCGTGGGCAAGCCGTACTACCTTCGCCAACTTCATGGTGCAGCTGCCCTTCGTCTTCCCCCGGGACGTGCTGCCCAAGTTCAGGGACCACGTGGTGGGGACCCGGGGAGGCAAGTTCAAGAGCTTCGACGCCGCGTTTCAGAACTTCGCTCAGCACGGGCCCAAGTTTGAGAGGTGAGAAGCTGCCAACCGGCAAGCCCTTCTGAGGCGTTTCAGAATTTTGCTCAGCACAGGCCCAAGTTTGAGAGGTGAGGGGTGTGAGGAGCGCGTTTCTGAGGTTAACCCAGGGAGGTTGGCAAGCCTTTTGAGGCGTTTCAGAACTTCGCTCAGCACGGGTCAAAGTTTGAGAGGTGAGGGGGGTGAGGCTATTGGCTGGGTGGGTTGGTCTCGGAGTAAGGGGGTCAGGGGCTTGATTCCGCATCTCAAAGCGTTGCGCAAACAGCGTGGACCCAGATATGAAAGGTGAGGGGCGGGGTGGCTTGGCAGATTCAATGATGCTGGGATGTGCTTGTTGTCTGAAAGCAGGTCTGACGCGCTGGAATATCAGAGCGGAATGAATCAGGGAAGGGTGCATCAGAGCCCAACGGCTCTCTGGAGTCGGCGAAAAGCTCTGAATATTAGAGCGGAATCCCTGGAGCCCCTGAAAAGCTCTGATCTGAGCCCCTGTGCCCCTCTCACCACTCTTTCCTTCCCTCCCCTCCCTCGTGCTTCGTGCGTTGTGTTTCTCCCCCCGGGCGCGCTTCTTGTGCTGCGCAGGACGCAGATCGCGTACGGCACTCTGGGCAACTTGATGTGGACGTTCACTCTTGTTTGTCGTGCTTGCTGCACTTGATGCTCGTTTCTCATCACTCTTCTCCCCCATTCCTCCCTCGCCTCGCCTCTCTTCTGCTGCGCAGGACGCAGATCGCCCACACCACGCTGGGCAACTTCATGTGGGCGTTCACCCAGGACGAGGTGAGGAGAGAGGTGTGAGAGGGGGAGGGGCCTGATGTGAGAGGGGGAGGGGCCTGATGTGAGAGGGGGAGGGGCCTGATGTGAGAGGGGGAGGGGCCTGATGTGAGAGGGGGAGGGGTCTGTGGGAGAGGGGGAGGGCCGTGTGGTGATTCTGGTGGCATGATAAGAGCATTTGTCCGGTGACGTGAGAAGTGCGCGCACTGCATCTCGCCATCCCATCCCATGCCATGGCACGCCATCCCATGCCATGCCATCCCATGCCATCCCATCCCATGCCATGCCATCCCATGCCATGCCATGGCACGCCATCCCATGCCATGCCATCCCATGCCATGGCACGCCATCCCACGCCATGTCATCCTTAACCATACCCTGGTGCCTCCGCACTCTGCATCATCTCACTCATTCCCTCGTGCGCCTCTCACCTTCTCCCTCATCCCATCGTCACTCCCTCTCCCACCTTCTCAGGTGCACTGGGCGCTAGAATGGACGGACCACATGCCCATCCCGCGCATTGGCGTGCACATGCCGTACTCCCAGCCCTTCCGCGACGCCACCAACAACAACGACCAAGCCCGCGCGTCGTCAAGACCTACGTTGCCCTGGCCGGCTACTACTCGCACGAAGCAGTCTGCCACGCCTTCCCTCCGGGGGAGCTCGACCGCTGCAAAGACGTGCTGAAATTCGAGCAGCGGCAGATCTGGCAGTATGTCATGGACTGGTATGACTGGCCCGCGATCAAGCACAAGAGGAAGAATGCGACATTTGTGTATGATTTGTATAAGCGGGAGCTTGCATGCATGTATGGGAAGGTGGCTGAAGCGCGCACTAACGAGTGGACGGATCATATTATAGGGAGGCGGAGGGAGCTGGTGAATGAGATGACCAGGGACTGCGCAACGCCGCATTCTAATTAGGTCGTGCGTAGCTAGTTATGTACCAAATAGTAATGGGTGTGTATGTACCGTATATTGCTGGTGCATATTCCACTCATGGTGGGATTATGACCATGGGTGTACTTGTAGCGAATCGTTCAATGCCAGACCCAACCCCAGCTTGAAATACCGTAATCACCCGGACGGACCGCATATAGGCGCGACCATTTACTAAGCCCAGTGGGCTTATAGTGTGCAGATTGTCAGAAACCCAGTCACTAACCACTGGGTTAAAAGGGCTTGTTGAATAGCGGGTAAGTGCGCCCATAGCCCCCCAGGCTCTGCACCTGAGGCCCTTCTCCGAGGATCTCAAGGGAAACCCCAGCGGGTCACTCAACACCCCCCCCCCCCGCTGGGATAGGTGGAAGACACGAGCGCCTCTGCGGCGCTGGCAGTGGGAGTTGAACCCAAGACCTTTGGCTCTGATACCATGTCAGAAACCCAGTCACTAACCACTGGGTTAAAAGGGCTTGTTGAATAGCGGGTAAGTGCGCCCATAGCCCCCCAGGCTCTGCACCTGTGGCCCTTCTCCGAGGATCTCAAGGGCAACCCCAACGGGCCACTCAACACAGATGCCCGTAGACCAGTGATTTCATTATACTCGCACCCACTTTTTAAAAATCTATTCCCTAAAGGCGCATTGAGTTACAAAACTTCCATATCGAACCTCTGTGCCAAACCTCACGCAGCTCTCCCAAGCCATATTCGTGTTGTCCACAACCTAATATCGTGCCTGTGATTGGCTAATAACATGCCTTGCCAGCTTGGTTGTGTTGGCGAAACTTTTGCCAGATATTCCGCGCGATATATCTCTCAAAGAAGCTTAGGACACTAACTAAACTTAGGAACCTAGCTTAGCTAGGAAGGAAGGAAGGACGCCATGGAATGGCGTGAGGCAAGTAGATCTAGGAGTAGGCAAAAGTGACGAGAAAGAAGAGGATGGATTAGGAAGAGAGAGGAGTACAAGGAGGGGTTTGTACCCCCTACAGAAAGGTTCAGTAACAACCTACCAAGTTTATATTAAATTATAACTTGTATAATTTGAACAATATCTGCGCGTTCCCTTTTGAAGACAGTTGTATTGGATCCCAAATATAGGTGGGTGAGCGACCGACACGAGCAAGCTGCAGCTACCTGGGAGGACGCTGCGACCGGGGGGACACGGTGTCCAACATGAACAGGCCAGACACGGGGTCCCGGGGGAACGTGGTGAGGGGGGAACCAGTGGCGGCCTCGGTACAGACCGCGTACCGCTCGTGTCCAGGGAACGTAGTGGTGATGCCGAGGTCCTAAAGACAGCCGACACCAACTAGGTTCCAGGAGAACGAGGGGATGTGCAAGCCTGTAAGGGAGCCGGAGGGAACCGCCGGACAGGGAAGGGTAGTAGAACTACGTGCAACTACCGGACCTGAGGAGGGGTCAGCAAGCACTACATCGTTAGGGGCAACAAGCGACGTCAGCGCAGTGTGGTCGCGAAAGAAGCAGCGGACGCACCAGAGTCTAGCGTGAACGAGAGCGCGGCGGTAGCGGCCGCAGGCGGAGGAGCCAGTGTGGAGCCGAGGCTAAACAAGGCAGGTGGTCCTACGCATGATGCAGCAGGGGAAACTAGACTACACTCAATGGACACACCTACAATAGGCAACACTGGGTAATAGGGACCAATCACACTATAGTTATCAGCATACATGATATACATAGCAGTCTTAATCTGATCCATGTCAAGCTTAACGACAGGCAGACGACGACGCACCAGGGCGTACCAGTCAGGAGGATCCGACGTGGGACCAAAATGGAGACGGAAGAGGTCGTCGAGGCGGCGGTAGCAGCGGGCGACGCTGTGACTGGGACGGTCGCAGACGGTGCCGCGGCGGGGGCCGGACTGAAGCTGGTACTGGCAGGTGGCCACATAAGAGCTGCTACCCGATACCGAGCTGCGCGACCCACCACCACGACCACCACCACTAGCGCCACCAGGCCACCACGGCGGCGGGGGACCCCACGGCGGCTGCTGCTGCTGCTGCGACTGCTGCTACTGCTGCTGAGTTTGCTGCTGCTCCGAGGCACCAGCCCCGGTCCCCTCGTCTGCACCACCACCCCCACCACCCTTCCCTCTGCCACGCCCCCACTTGGGGCGGCGGCCCTTACCCTGACGCTGCTGCGCTGAGGCCGCGACAGCGGTCTCACCAGCAGGGGCTGTCTCGGCGACAACGGCAGAAACATCAGAGTAGGTGCACTGGGAGGGAGTACAACCCTGGAAGATAGGGACCGCCGCATTACCGCTAGACTAAGCGATAGTGCACTGGCGGGTCTCTATCGCGGACAGGGCGATGACAAAGACAGTGAGAGTGAGGTCACCTGGGTGCTGACTAATGAAGTGGCCGCAGGCAGTGGCTAGGCGGTCAGAAAGGCACGTGGCAATGAGGTAAAGGGTAGCGCAAAGCGACGGTGGGAATGAAGTGAGCTGTGCCTTAGTGCTAGCGGCACGATAGGTAGTCTCCAATGCGCGGAGGTGAGTGGCAAGGTCAGCGACAGTGGGGAAGGACGCAAGGTTAGGGAACAGCATGGGGAGGATCAGACGGCCACCAGAGGCTAAGGCGGGGGTGGAATAGCGCGCAATGACGGCATCTAAGTATTCCTTGGCGTTTGTTATAGCGGTACAGTGGGGACGCTCAGACAGGGGGAGGGCGTGACTAATGACAAGCTGTGCAACGGCGTCGTGCGAATCCCAGACAGCGCAGGCAAGCTCAGCAGTGACAAAAGCCTCCTGTTCAGCAAACGTGGGGGCGTCAGGGAGGGCAGCAGGCGGGGCGGGGCGAGGGAGCTTACCGTCAACATGGACGGCCAGGGAGTGGCCGTCCTGGTGGTGCCCGGTTAGCTGGCGGCGGAGGTCGACGAGCCATGCCTCAAACTCAACCGCCCGACCCTCCGCCTCCAGGCGGAGTAGAGAGTCCGCCATCACCACGGCTGCAACAGCTGACTGCCGCTGACAAGGGGAGGGGGGAAAGCGGAGGAGGGCAATGGAGAGGGGTGGAGAGGAGTGGAGAGCGGTGGAGTACGGTGGAGTGCGGTGAAGTGCGGTCGTGTGCGGTGGAGAGCGGTGGAGACTGCTGGCGGGAGCGCCGGCTTAGAGGGGAAACCAAGGCAGGCAGGTCAGCTCGGCTCAGGGGTGGGAAGGGCGGGGGCGGGCTAGGACCGACGGAGCTGCGGCCGGCGGTGTGGGGGCAGCGAAGGTGACTACGGGCGGGCGGCTACAAGCGGGCCAGTGGCTACGGGCAGGCTAGCAACAACGGGCAGTCAACGGGAATGCGCGGCTAGCGGCTACGGGCAGCTGGCGGCTGCAGGCGGCTAGGGGCGATGGGCGGCTGGCGGTAGCGGGCGGCCATTGGGAACGGGCGGCTGGCGGTAGCGGGCAGCCAGTGGGGATGGGCAGCTGGCGGCAACGGGCGACCAGCGGCAATGGGCGGCCAGCGGCTACGGGCGGGCTGGCGGCGACGGGCGGCCAGCGGCTACAGGCGGGCTGGCAGTGACGGGTAACCAGCGGCGACATGCGGCTAGCGGCTACAGGCGGGCTGGCGGCGACAGGTGGCCAGCGGCGACGGGTGGCTGGCGGCTACGGGCGGCGACAGGCGGCCAGTGGGCTACGGGCAGCTGGCGGCTACGGGCGGCAGCGATGGGCGGCGGGCAGCTGGCGGCTAAGGGCGGCCAACAGGCTGGCGGCTACGGACGGCTGGCGGCTACAGGCGGCCAGTGGCAACAGGCGGCCAGCGACGACGGGCGGCGGCAGGCGGCCAGCGGGCTACGGGCAGCCGGCGGCTACTAACGGCGGGCGGCTACAGGCGGCCAGCGGCGACAGGCCGCCAGCGGCTACGGGTGACGACAGGGGGCGAGCGGGCTACGGGCAGCTGGCGGCTACGGGCGGCAACAACAGGCGGCGAGCAGCTGGCGGCTAAGGGCGGCCAGCAGGCTGGCGGCTACGGGCGGCCAGCGGCGACAGGCGACCAGCGGCGACAGGCTACGGGTGACGGGCGGCAGGCAGCTGGCGGCTACGGGCGACAGGCGGCCAACGGCAGTGAGCAGCAAGCAGCTAGCAGCGGCGGCTAGCGACGGTTGGCTAGGAACGGGCGGCTAGCGACGGGCGGCTCGAGCTAGGGCTAGGACTAGGGCGGAAGCGCGGGTGGGCGGGATCCTAACCTAGCGTGATACCATCTCAGAGTAGAAAGATTGACTAGAATGATGGGGTACAAGGGAATACAACCTAAGGTGTTGTACTCTCTAAGAGTACGCACCTATCTAGCCTATAGTAACATATACACATATGTTTGACAACAGGAACTTCTTCAGTTCCGCCGACTTTGTCGTGTGCGCTCCACGTGTATAACGCTGCAGGTGCCCGTAGTGTCTGTTAGTAGCGTTAGCTAATAAGGGTTATTCATGGTATATAATCCTCCTCGCTGTAGCATTAGAAAAATGTCTCGTGAAAAGATCGCTGAGCAGTCGGAGGTGGTAGCGAGTGCGTCGGTGCTGACGACGAGGTTCGGCGAAGCGATGGCGACGATGGAGGCCATGTCCCTGGAGCTCGCCGCATTGAAAGAGGAGAATGTGAGCCTGTCAACAAATATATTTATATATATGAGCTAGGTCATATTTGTGTATAGCCTAGCTAGGTTTAGTTCTTAGTGAGTACAACCCTAGTTTTGTATCCCTCGACATTTTCCCTTAGCACGCTTTTCCCGCTACTCTAATACGGTATTGAGCTAGGTTAGGGTTTTCCACCGTTACTCACGCTTCCGCGTTACTGTAGTGTTTTTGTTGTTGTTGTTTTTTTTTTTTTTTTTTTTTTTTTTTTTTTTTTTTTTTTTTTGCGCGTGTGCCCCTCTCAATTTCGCGCACCTCCTGCCCTCCAATTTCGCGCTTCGTAGCCTCGACTCCCCCCCCACCCCAAAAGCGTTTGCACTGTTTCATACAGCAGCCAACAGGCCAACACACTAGCCAACATGCCTGCCAGTGTGCTAGCCAGTGTCCTAGCCAGCACGCTAGCCAACCTGCTAGCCAGCGCGCTGGACAGCACGCCAACCTTCGCGCCAGCCAGCTAGCTAGCATATTAGCCAGCTAGCTCGCCAGCCACGTTAGCCAGCGCGCCACCAGCAATTTCTGCCAGCTAATCGCCAGCAGCGCCAACCAGCTCGCCGCCAGCAACGTCCGCCAGCTCGCCGCCAGCAGCTACTGCCAGCCACTTGCCAGCACCACCAGCCAGCTAGCCGCCAGCAGCGTCCGCCAGCTCGCCGCCAGCAGCTGCTGCCAACTTCTCGCCAGCAGTGCCGGCCAGCTAGCTGCCAGCAGCGTCTGCCAGCTCGCCGCCAGCAGCGCCGGCCACCTAGCTGCCAGCAGCGTCCGCCAGCTTGCCGCCAGCAGCTGCTGCCAGCTAGTAGCCAGACAGCCGCCGCCACTTTAGCTGACACTACCGCTGAAACCACTGCTGCTGCAGCTGCCGCCGCTACTACTGCAACTACCGCTGCAGCCCACGGCTACTACCGCAACCACTGCAGCCACAGCCGCAATCGTTGCAGCCAGTGCCGCTGCCGCAGCCACTGCTGCTGCTTGCGCTGTGGCCGGTTGCGCTACCGCCGCTTCCACTGCCGCAGCTGCTGCCCCCACTGAGGGTGTGAGGGGAGAAGGTCTGGAAGAAGTCCACACCCTCACGCTGGCTGCCCCCACAGTTGGCATCAGAGGCCAACACCGCTGATATCTTCACCAAGGCACTTGCGCCTCGTGACCATCAGCGATTCTGTACTTAGCTTGGTCTCGTCTCTGTAGCAGCACCATTCCGTGTATCCTGAGTCATACTATACCTGCTTGTACTTGTTGTTCTATACTTGCATGCCTTGTCTCAGTGGTCAGACTAGTAGTGCTGCCCTTAGTTGCCTTGTTGCCTTCACCAGAGGTCAGACTAGTAGTGCTGCCCTGGTGTATTGTGCCTTGTTATGAACTGCCACTATCTAGGCTAGGAAGTGTGTCAACAAATATATTTATATAGATTAGCTAGGTCATATTGTTTATAGCCTAGCTAGCTTAGTTCTTAGCAAGTACAACCCTAGTTTTGTATCCCTCGACATTTTCCCTTAGCACGCTTTTCCCGCTACTCTAACAGAGCCTTCGCCAGGCGCGTGGTGGGACGCGTCATGAGTCGCCTATTATCATGGACGAAGATCGTGCTAGCACGCACCATTCGCAGTCGACATCAGCGATACGTGACGACAGCACGAGCGAGCGACGGGAAGTTGTGAAGATAAAGTCTGCAATGCACCTGCCGTTCAACCCGATGGAGAAGCACACCACACTAAGTGGGTGGCTGTTCGCCATGGAGCTGTTCTTCCATGCTACCGATGTCAACGACGATGAGACACGCGTCAAGTTGGCGGTGTCTTTATCACGGGGGCGTGCATTAAGTTGGTGGTGACAAACCGGCAACAGGCAATGGACGGGGAGCAACGATTGGCTTCAACTTCTACAGGATCCTTATTTGGTGTGGCCGAGATCCTTACCTGGCAACAATGGGGTGCACTGCTTCGCAAGCGCTTCGAGCATGTATCCACATGCGAAAACGTTCGTGTGAAACCGCACGGGTAGCGTCAAATGGGGCTCTGTTCTAGAGTACATGTCATCCTTCCTCGCCATCCGCGACAAAATCGACGATCTACACGAGACGGAAAAAATGAGTCGATTCATCCTAGGGCTAAAGACGGAGGTCCAGGGAGAAATTCGCATGCGCCGCCTGACGGCGTTCTTGGAGGTGAAGCAGATCGTAGAGGCGTGGGACGAGAACAGTGTATGGCCGAGAGCGAATTTCCGGGAGGGAAATCGGGAGCTAACGACGGAAGGAAGCCGGAAAATGGACAGCATCAGTAGCAGTCGGGCCCCCTACTGATGAGGATTCGTCGCCCGAAGATCACCATTCCCACCGAGTAGTAATGCCGATCTATGCGATCGACCACACCCGGCTAAAGGGGAGTGAACCTATTGACTGCCCCATGCTAGTGGAAGGGCACGTTGGCAAAACCATATCAAAAATATTCGTGGATGGTGGAGCATCACACAGTCTGTTCGATGTGACAAGAGCGAAGAAATTGCAGCTGCAAATGGAGCGGTGCATGCCCGAAATTGACGTGCGGTTGGTCGACGGCACGCTACTTGTAATTCGGGAGCGATAAAACACATTCGCATTGATTGCGACAGCCTAGTCAGCTTCGTCATGGAAATGCTGGTGACTACATTCGACGGTTGCGATGTGCTCCTGGGGCGCGATTGGCTTTGCACGTACAATTCGAGCATTGATTGGAGGAATAGCGACATTCGTTTGAAGTGGGGTGGCGAGTGGCGACGACTGCTGAAGTGGAAACCACCCGAACCACAGTCAACACCGGTGAACAACGTCACGATCAAGGAAATGGCATGCGGCGTGGACGTCTATGCCGTCCAATGGATTGCATCGACGGAGGTGGCTGAACAAACTGACTTTGAGAAGCTGTGCGACGCTGTACCTGAGGACCTGGCGAAGATCATGAGCAAGTACGAAAAAATATTTCCAAATGACCTACCACCCGGCTACCACCCGAACGACCACACGATCACACGATTGAGCTGGAACCTGGAGTGCAACCGGCCGTCCGATCGCAATGGAGGCTGAGTCAACCGGAGCTGCTCGAGTTGCGTACCCAACTGGATTATCTGTTGGAGAAAAAAATCATCCGCCCATCCACGTCACCCTATGCCGCGTCGGTTCTCCTCACCCCCAAAAAGGACGGAGGGCTTCGTATGTGTACAGACTTCTGCGCTCTCAACAACATCACCATCAAGCCGCGTTACCCAGTCCTACGAGCCGACGATCTCATCGACCAGCTTCGCGGAGCCAGGATTTTCTCCAAGATCAATATGCGAGGGGGTTACCACAAGATTCGCGCCGCCAAAGCTGATATTATGAAGACTGCATTTCGAACCCCTTACGGAAATTACGAGTATTTAGTGATGCCATTTGGGTCAATTAATGCACCCTCAACTTTTCAAATGACCATGAACGAAGTCTTCCGCTCGCTACTGGACAAGTGCATCATCGTCTACCTGGATGATATCCTAATGTACAGCAAAACTCGGGAGCAGCATTTGAAGGACTTGGAAGCATTTTTCACCCTCTGCGATCAACACCGCCTCATCACCAAAGGCTCTAAGTGCGAGTTCTTAAAGGAGGAGTTGGAGTTCCTGGGCCACATCATCTCCACCGAAGGTGTTAAAATTGACCCGAAGAAAATCGACACCATTCGAAACTATGAGCCGCCTACCAACGTCAAATAGTTGCAGAGTTTTATGGGGTTCGTCAATTACGTGCGCCATTGTATCCCTAAAATGGCGGAGTCATCTGCCCCACTAACCGGCTTGCTATAGAAGGGTTTTTTTTATAAGTGGGGGGAGAGGCAGCAAGCTGCGTTTGACCAACTGAAAACTTTCCTCATGACGCCACCCGTTCTTCGTATTGCCGACCCTGACCGCCTGTACAAACTGGTTACGGACGCCAGCGACATCGTCGTTGGTGCGATGCTGTTACAGGACTTTTGCGAAGGCATGCAGCCAATCGCCTACGACTCACGGAAACTTCAAAGTGCTGAACGGAATTACCTATTTCACGACAAGGAGATGCTCGCGATCGTCAAAGCTTTCAAGACCTGGCGCTGCTACCTATCAGGTGCCGACGTTACTGTTCGAACATACCACAATTCCTTACTATTCCTCCGAGCCCAACCGACCCTCAACCCACGTCAGATTCGTTGGCTCGAATATCTCGAGTCCAATTTCCACTACCGCATCACCTAAAAAAAAAGGGGACAAATAACATTGCCGACACCCTTTCCCGCCCTACTGCTGTTACAGCCGCCGTACTAATTGCCCAAGCTAATCCGCTACTAACTAGACTATTTAACCACAGCTATAATACTGACCCCCACTTCACCTCTAACGGTCACCAGGCCCTGACCACTCAACGAGGCCACTACCACCTTAAAGCTGGTACTGACCGAATTTGGGTCCCATCCTACCGACTCTTACAGGAATTACTGATATATGAGGTTCATGATGCTAACTGCTCGGAACATTTCGGGGTTGTTAAAACCTTGAAAATGCTCCAATGTCATTATTACTGGCCGAATGCGAGCCATGACGTACATCAATACGTGGTCTTATGCCCCATCTGCCAACTCATGAAGTCATCTCGCCAACGACCCGGTGGATTACTGCAACCGTTAGAACCACCCACAAAGCCCTAGACCCACTCGTCCATGGACTTCATGACAGGACTGCCAACCGGTGCATCCCAAAATGATGTTGTCCTCGTGGTCGTTCACAGTCGAGCAAACCGTCAAGCTATTTATCTCAACCGTCGTTCGCCTGCACGGAATCCCGAAGGCGATCGTGAGCGATCGTGACCACAAATTTCCGGCATAATTATGGACAAAAATATGGGAACAGTTTGGTACACATCTCCATTAGTCTACGGCTTACCATCCACAGACCAACAGCCAGACTGAACGGACAAACCAGACCATGGAGCAACTGATACGGACAACTTGTACCAACTCGACCCAATGGGAAGATTCCCTCCTCTTGATCGAGTTCGCTTATAACAAGGCCCCTTTGTCCACGACTGTCCAATCACCGTTCTACCTGAATTACTGTCTAAACCCCACGACTCCCACTCCACCTTTAGTTGAGATTCCAGCCCCACGGTTCCAATGGTATGTCAAGGACTTACAGACTGCACAAAAAAGCGCTACAGAGGCTATTACAAAAGCCAACCTTACGGCTAAACGGTACGCTGACAAGCATAGACGGGATTTATCCCTGCCTCCTAGGCAACTAGTCCTGCTTGACACCAAGAATTTAGGGTTGAGTTTACCACATAAACTCCACCCGAGATTCTGTGGGCCCTTCCAAATTGTTTGGATGGTGACACCTGTTACTACCAAGTTACTGTTATCGGACGACTGCGTATCCACGACTCATTCCATGTCTTCCTCTTTCGACAGTTTGTCGCGAACACGGCTGATCTCGATAGTCAACAACTGTATCCTTCGATCAGACACGTCCCCGAGCCAACTACCGAGCAGGGCCTCAGATAGGACGCTCGGCCTGACAACTCAGGTCTGAACTACGTTCAAGACCTCCAAGCCTCCACGCTGCATCGCGTCCGACACATCCGAGCCTCGAGGTGCCCAAACCACCTCGCGTGTGTTTCGTGGCCCTTCTCAAGGCTCCCTTGCTAGGCTAGCTGTGCTTGTATTTAGCCATGTGCTTCATTTGTACTCGACATACTTTAATCACTACCTCTTTATTGTGTTACTCGACTCCTATTCGGAGATGGGCTTATGTTTTTTATTCGATTTCAAGCGCTTGTTATATTTTTAATCTTAATCCCTATAAGCACACATGTGTCAAGCTGATTTAAGTATGTTGCTATAGCCTAGATAGGGGGCATGCCTTAGAGAGTACAAAACATTAGGTCAAAAAACCGTGTACCCTTCATTCTAGTTTATTCTGCTACTCTAAGATGGTATCAGCTTAGGTTAGGTCCGCCCACCAGCTTCCGCCCTAGCCTAGCCTTAGCGCTCCACTGTCCTTAGAGCCCCGCTGGCCTTAGCGCCCCGCTGGCCTTAGTACCCTGCTGGCCATCCCCTATGCGCCCTACTGGTCCCTTGCGCCCCGCTGGCCCCCTTCACGCCCTCGCCAGGCCCTTCGCGCCCCGTCGGCCCCTCGCGCCCCACTGGCCCCCCTTCGCTCCCTCCCAGGCCCTCATGCCCTGCTGATCCCTTACGCGCCCCGCCAGGCCCTTGCGCCCTGCTGATCCCTTACGCGCCCCGCCAGGCCCTCGCACCCCGCCGGCCCTTCGCGCCCTGCGGGCCCCCCTTTCGCGCCCCGCCAGGCTCTTCGAGCTCCGCCAGGCCCTTCGCGCCCCGCCAGCCCTTATGCGCCCCGCCGGCCCCTCGCCCCTCGCTCTCCGTTTCGCGCTCCGCCAGCCCTTTTGTGACCCGCCGGCCCCTCACGCCCCGCTGGCCGTTTCGCGCCCCGCAGCCCTTTCGCGCTCCGCTGGCCGTTTTGTGCCCCGCCGGCCCATCGCGCTGCACTGGCCCTTCGCGCCCCGCCAGCCTCCTCGCGCCCCTGCTGGCCCATTGCGCCCCCGTCGGCCCTTCTACGCGCCGCTGGCCCTGTGAGCCCCGCCCGGCCTTACGCGCCCCCATCGGTCGGCGCGCCCCGCGTGCCTCGGTCGAGGTCGCTGTCCTTTCTACCGTGGAGCTATGCCACCGTGGACTCCCCGCAGCAGATTGGGGTCGCTGAGCGACGCATCGGTTTGGTCATAGATGTGGCTCGTACCTCCATGATCCATGCCGGTGACCCCAATTTCTCTGGCCGTTGGCTGTTCGCTACGCCGCTCACCAGCTTAACTTGTGGCTGCACTCCAGCGGCCGCAGGTTTCGCCGACCCTTCTCGGGACCGGGTTCCCTGGTGACGCGTCCGCGTTCCACGTTTGGGGCTGCCTCGCTCACATTTGTGCCTCTGGCACGGACAAGCCCACTACCCACACGGTCCCCTGCGTCTTCCTTGGTTTCCCTCTTGACTCGTCACACTGGCACTTTTATCACCGCCATCTCACCGCTTCTTTCAGTTGCGGGACGTCACTTTCGACGAGTTCGTCTCCTTCTACCACAGCGTTCCCCACCGAGGACTCCCAATATCCCTGCCCCCTGTTTCTTGTACCCACTCCTCTGGTAGCCCCTGCTCCCCTCCCTCCCGTTGTGAGAGTACGACACCGTTACACCACTTGTCCCTTTCCTTGTTTCCTTTCTATTTCATTTCCTTTTTATCCATCTCATTTGGTTTCCTATTCTCCATTTTCCTTATCCTTTGGTTTATCCTGCTATTATAATTATATCACCGACCAGGCTTGGGATGTACTGGCGCTATATCTAGCGTAATCCTGCCATAATCCCTTAAAGCCAATAGCCTCGCGTGGCTATACGCAGGGTGATTCTATCTTCTAGAAGGGTCTATTCCCTTAGGATAAGATAAACCTGGTTACCTGATGTACTTGGAAGTATAAAAGCGCCTTGTATGATCGATAGTGCAACTTTCCTCGACACATTCGATCCTGTGACACTTGGTAATCAGAGCTTTTCTCACTCAGCCGCGCTCAGCTAAGCAGCAGCAGCGGGGATCCTGCCTCGAAAAACCGCCGGGGGCGACCAATTCGACGCCGATTCTGGTAAGCACCAGCTCCGCGATTTTCGAATTACCCCCCCTGCGTGTTTTGAACAGGATGGCAACCTTCGACAACGCCGAGGTTACCCAGCAGCTCTTCGCGCGCATCGCAGCCCTTCAGGAGGAATGCGAGCGGATCGCGAAGCGTGGCGAAACGTTCGAGCGAGTAACTCGACTCGCCGGAGCGCAGCACGACGACAACGGCGACGACGCAGCAGTCGCAGCAGTTTCTCGAGGCTCCGAAACCGCGCCCACCTGAGCCGTTCGATCCGAGCGATCGAAACTCCGACGCCCGCAGATGGATCGCCGGGATGGAGATCTACTTCGCAGCCGTCGGATGGAGCTCGCCAGTCTGGGACGGTCAACGCGTACGACTCGCGGCGACACTGATGCGAGGGCCGGCACTCGAGTGGATTGGCGGCAACAGTACCTTTATCCACGGTGAAGCCACGTGGCAGCAGTTCCGCGCCGACCTGCTGAAACGCCGAGCCGATAAATTCGGTTTCCTTGCCCGGGAAAAAATTCATCGACATCGACAGTTCGGGAGTGTAGCACAGTACACGCAGCAGATGGAAGAATTTTATAACCGCATTCCCGACCTGACCGAAGGGGAAAAAGTACAATCGTACCTCGCCGGGCTGAAGACCGAAGTCAAACGACAAGTGCAGCGTCAAACTACGCGAGCTACAGTGACGTCGTTTCGGCAGCGGAGCGCTTCGACATGGTCAACGCCGGAACACGACGGACGCACGTCGGCAGTACGCGACAGGGCGACCGCTCGGCTCACCCACGTTCGCCGACCCGATGGAAGTCGACAGATTCGAGGGGCGGCCACGTCCGAAAAACACCAACTACACGTGTGATTTTTGCGGGGTGCCGGGCCATCGAATCTTCGACTGCAACAAAATGAAGCCGCACGCGCAGAGTATCGGGCACGCAACAGTGGCGGAAATCTTCGGCCAATCAGAAGCAAAAAACGGGAGTCGCCAGTGATTGCGGATCTAGCTGGCGAAAATAAAAAGATCCGAAAGCGGCCGCGGGATTCCGGAAAATCAACTTCGACGAAGCTGATTCGACGCGAGAAGGAGGAAATGATGGGGGAAAATCTCCACCCCACGACCAGTCTTCGCCAGGGAAAATCGCCGAGGAAAAATACGACTCCGCGAAAAAAGACTCTGCCGAGACAGGGAAACTCCTTGAAGACCCAAGAAATTATAAGAATTCGTTAAAGTTATCTTATAAAGATGCTTTAATGAAAACTTATGATTTCGAGGGCTAGAGCCTTGGAGAAATTTCGGGAGGGACTCCAAAAGAAGCAGAATGTGGAGATTATACCGGTACCGGACAACTTGGGGACCAAATTAAGGAGTGTGGAAAGAAGCCGACCTTTCCACGGAGTCAACGTCCTCTCCCGACACCAGCCCACAACGACTACCCGTCCCCAGGGAAGACGTCGGTGGAGCTGAAGCAGCTCAAGAGGAAGCTGGGGGTCTACAAGAAGCACAAACCCCGAACTCCTCCTCATGCATCCAGTTCTTCGGCATCAGACGCGCACAGTCGTCAAGGAAACTCCGGGCCCTGGAGAAGAGCCGTTCTCCAAGCAGCCTCGGCCAGCTGCCAGCTCAGGAGTAGAAGCAACAAAATTGGGATGTGTACCCTATGACCCATCAATGAAACTATCTTTGGGTACTCCGAGCAACGCTGCCCCTCGTGCTCGAGGTCATCTGCAAAGGACGACGCCTCCAAGCACTCGTGGACAGCGGAGCATCACACACCGTCTGCGACAAGGCAGTAATCGACCGACTTCGGGAAGAGTACAAGCCTTCAGGATTCTCTGCAACGATGGTGGACGGCAGCAAGTTACCAGTACACGGCGAAGCAGTGCTACACCTACAAATCGGACCACTGCGCTGGAGACCTGCACTCCCCATCACCAACATCAAAGGGCTTGACTTGATCTTCGGGCGAGACTTCCTGAAAAGATTCAACCCCGAGATCAACTGGGTGAACCGCACCGCAAGCATCTACAACAATGGACGGAGAGTACCTACCCAACTGGGACGATACAGGAGATATCCCAGTGGAGACACTCGCACGATTCGAGAAGGACGTGAAGCGAACCGACACCGGGTTCCTGGCGATAGCAACAGAGGTGGAGAATGACGGAGAGAAAGCCTCGGAACCTCCAGAAAAATCAAGGAATTACTGAAGGAGTTCCAAGACATTCTTCCTGACGATCTTCCGAACGAGCTACCGCCATACCGAACGCATCAACACGAGATCGTGGAGGAACCGGGTTCGAAGCCGACCTTCCGAGCACCATACGGCTCAGCCCTACGGAGCTGACCGACATGAAAAAACAGATCGAGTATCTCCTAGCCAAAGGACTCATCCGACCATCCACTTCGCCATACGGTGCCCCAGTACTCTTCACACCGAAACCGGACGGAAGCCTGCGCATGTGCATCGACTACCGAGCTCTTAACAAGCAGACCATCAAGAATAAATACCGATACAATCGATGACCTGCTTGACCAGCTTCGGGGAGCTACGGTATTTTCCAAACTGGATCTGCGGTCCGGATACTGGCAGATACGGATGGCGGACAACTCTATCCACAAAACTGCTTTCCGAACTCGGTACGGATCGTACGAGTATTTGGTAATGCCGTTCGGACTCACCAACGCACCGGCAACGTTCCAAGCCGAAATGAACCACATTCTACGCCCTCTTGGACGAATGCGTGGTGGTGTACCTGGACGACATCTCATCTACTCGCGCGACATGAAGCAGCACGTCGAACACCTGCGACGCGTCTTCGAAATTCTTCGACGAGAACGATTCTACGTCAAACTGTCCAAGAGCGAATTCGCCCTTGAGAAGGTCCAATTCCTAGGACACATAGCGCTCAAGGAGTTCACGTCGACCCCAAGAAAATCGAAGCCGTACGTACGTGGAAGACACCCGAGAACGTGAAGGAGTTGCAGCAGTTCCTAGGCTTCGCTAATTACTACAACAGGTTCGTGCCACAGTATGCGAAACTCGCAGCACCACTCACGAATCTGCTGAAGAAGAACACGCCCTACAAATGGGAGCGACACCAGGAAGCCGTGGAGCAGCTGAAACAAGCACTCACGTCCGCACCGGTACTCATCTTGCCAGATCCCGAACGCGACTACGTCATCGAAGCTGACGCCAGCGACCAGGCAGTGGGAGCAGTCTTGATGCAAGACCAGGGGAATGGACTGCAACCAATTGCCTACCTCAGCAAGAAACTACGGGCAGAACTAAACTACCCGATACACGACAAAGAGGCCTTGCCATCGTCATCGCCTTCAAAGCGTGGAGATGTTATCTCGAAGGACGAAGAACAACCGTCTACACCGACCACTGCAGCCTGAAATACTTGAAGACACAACCCAACCTTTCCAGGCGGCAGGTCCGGTGGATCGACTTCCTCGAGACACACTTCCACTACGACATCGTGTACAAGCCCGGCCACAAAACAAAGCAGACGCTCTCAGCCGCCTGCACACGTTGCCGCTATTCAGTCGAAGGGATGAATCCACTACTCAAGGGACTCTTCACACACGGGTACGCCATCGACCCCGAAATTCCCTTGGCAGAAAAGCGACATCTGCTACAGTGGGACAACATCGCGTACCGGAAAGGATCAACGAAAATCTGGGTACCCAATTACCCTCCTTTGCGCCAGTTACTACTCGAAGAATACCACGACGTCCTCTACGCCGGACACTTCGGTAGCAACAAGACGCTGACCGGTATCGCAAAGCACTACTACTGGCCCCACTTGGCAGAATATGTCAGAATTCGTCACCTCGTGTGATACATGTCAGCGGATGAAGAGCAGCAAGCAGAAAAAGGCAGGACTACTGCAGCCTCTTCCTGTCCCAGAACAACCATGGCAAGTGGTTAGCCTGGACTTCATCACCGGGTTACCACTACCACCAGCGGTCATGACGCATCCTTGTCGTCATCGACAAGTTCTCCAAAATGGGACACTTCATCCCGACACACACGACGCACGCACCGAAGAAACAGCACACTCTTCGTTCGATATCATCTCACAGCATGGCATTCCAACCACTCATCTCCGACCGAGACCCTAAGTTCACCAGCAAGTTCTGGAAGAACTTATGTCTCTACTCGGACCAAACTCGCCATGTCATCCGCATACCATCCGCAGACAGACGGACAGACCGAGCGCCTCAACCAAATTGTGGAGCAACTCCTCCGCGCAGCCCGCAAGGACGACATCTCCAAATGGGAGACGCACAGATCACTCCTGTTACCTTCCGCTTACGCCTACCAGCTACCTAGAGGATTCACAATGCCTTCCATGTCCAACTTCTGAAGCCCTATCGGGATTCGAACACGATCTTCGTCGGACGCCAACCGCCGCCGCCGCCGCCGTCCTCGTCCATGATGAACCCGAGTACGAGGTCGAGTCCGTGCTTGCACACCGCCGTCGTCGGAATGGTACCGTGGAGCTTCTTATTCGTTGGAAGGGTTATGATCCTTCTAAGGACAGTTGGGTCCCTGAGCCCGACATGGGTAACGCCGTCGCCCTCTGCATGACTACCTTGTCAAGCAGGGTGTTACTTCTACGACCCAGCTTTGAGGGAGGGAAATGTAAGAGTACGACCCCGTTACACCACTTGTCCCTTTCCTTATTTCCTTTCTATTTCATTTCTCTTTTTATCCCATCTCATTTGATTTCCTATTCTCCATTTTCCTTTATCCTTTGGTTTATCCTGCTATTATAATTATATCACCGACCAGGCTTGGGATGTATGGGCGCGCTATATCTAGCGTAATCCTGTCGTAATCCCTTAAAGCCAATAGCCTCGCGTGGCTATACGCAGGGTGATTCTATATTCTAGAAGGGTCTATTCCCTTGGATAGGATAAACCTGGTTACCTGATGTACTTTGGAAGTATAAAAGCACCTTGTATCAATCGATAGTGCAATCTTTCCTCGACACAATCGATCCTGTGACACCCATCCTGCTCCGTCTGGTGTGTCTCACGTCACTCCCCTCCCGTCGGTTGTCCCGGTCGAGGAGTTGGCTGACTCTGGTGACCCCGTGGCGCAGTTCACGCCGCCTGTTTCTCCCCCGGTGTCCCTCCTTCGCCGTCGCCGTCCCCCAGGGTGTTGGTCCTGGGGTGCTGGTTCTGGGGTTGCTAGTCCTGGGGTTCCTGTTGTGGCTTGTCCCGGCGGTCTCGGGGTGGCACTGGTGCTGGAGAGGGTTCTCGTTCTGGGGTGCTGGAGTGGAGCGTTCTGGAGGTAGCTGTGGTGCAGCTGGAGGTTCTAGTGTTGGCGTGAAGCAGCAGCAGCAGTCGCCGCTGGTGTCCGCCCTTCGCCTGCTCGGCCTTCCCTCCCCTGACCACTCACCTGCGACTTCCCCGCTGCCGCCTCCTCTGCCTGTCTACAGCCCTATGTTTCCTCTGCCGGACTCATGCCCGGCTCGTTTCCCCCCATGTTCTCCTCTTGTGACTCCTCCTGTGTCTCCTAAACCTCCGTCCCACTTCTCGTCTCGCCGTCCTTCTCCTGCTCATCCTGTCTCTCCTGTCCGGTGCTCTCACCCCATATTCCTTCATTCCCACACGTCTCGTCCTCCCCTCCTCCCCTCGCCTCCTCCGTCGTCGCTAGTTGTCGCTCCGCCTCCTCTGTTTGACTACTTTCGTGCCGCTCGTCCTCTTGTTCCTCGGGTCCTTGCCTCCCTCGTTACCGACCCGTCTGTTCCTGTCTCCGGTCTTGACGCTCTTGTCGCTGTTGTCGCTAACTTCGTCTCTACCCGTCGCCTTGACTACGCCACAGCTCTTGTCTCTGGCCCGGCCTCCCCTCCGTCCGTCGGGGATGCTCCTGCCCTTGGCAGTGACGTCCTAGAGGACATGCAGTATGAGCTTGCTTTCATGTTTGAGGCCGCTCCCCATCTCTGTTCCATACTACTAGTCCCTGAGGGTGACCCAGCGCCCTTGACATCCCGACCCCTCGCACTTACGCTGAGGCGACCTCAGGACCCCTGGCCTCTCAGTGGATAGCTGCCATGGAGCAGGAGATGGCATCTTGGAGATCCACCGGCGCCTTCGTCGACGCAGTTCCCTCGCCTGGGGTGAACGTAGTCGATGGCCGATGGCTCTTCAAGGTGAAGCGCCCCCCTGGAGAGCCGCCTGTATTCAAGGCGCGCTACATGGCTAAAGGCTTCAGTCAGTGCAAGGGTGTGGACTTTTTTCAGACCTTCTCCCCGACCCCGAAGATGACTACTCTTCGGGCACTGCTACACGTAGCAGCACTGCGTGACTACGAGCTACACTCCCGAGTTCCCCACAGCGTTTCTTCAGGGCAGTCTACACGAGCAGGTCTACCTGCGTCGTCCACAGGGCTTCACCGGTACCTTCCCTCCTGGGACCCAGTGGCTCCTCCGGCGCCCGGTCTACGGCCTGCGACAGGTGCCCCATGAGTGGCACAATACGCTGCGTGCTACGCTAGCTGACCTACAGTTCTTCCCGTCGTCTGCAGACCCCTCGCTCTTCGTTCATGCTGGCCAGACTCCGTTCTACATCATTGTCTACGTAGGCGACCTGGTCTTCGCTACTGCAGACAGAGACACACTAGCCTCCGTAAAGGCTGAGCTGTTGAGGAGACACATCTGCACTGACCTAGAAGTATTGCACCGCTACTTGGCCTGCAAATCTCCAGGGACAGAGTATCACGCACCATCACTCTCACACAGTCACACTTGGTGCGCCAGGTCCTTCAGAGGTTCGGTCTTCAGTTCTCCTCCGCACAGCCCGCACCTCTGCCAGTAGACCGCATGCTCTCTGCTCCAGTTCCTGAGGGGTCAGTAAAGCCTAGTGGTCCTTATGCAGAACTGGTGGGTTGTCTCATGTACCTGATGACTTGCACTCGTCCAGATCTCGCATACCCTCTCGGCATCATGGGGCGCTTTGTGGCCACAGGCAGACACCGACAACGGCATTGGTCGGCAGCTAAGAGGGTTTGCGTTATCTAGCAAGTACATCGGGCATGGGACTCGTGCTGGGAGGACGTAGACCAGTGGTCCTTACAGGGCATAAAGACGCTACGTGGGCAGTCGACGCTAAGACACTCAGGTCCTCCCAAGGCTACTGCTTTAGCCTTGGTTCACGTGCCATCTCATGGAGGTCGACCCGCTCGTCGTCTGTTGCCCGGTCTAGCTGTGGGGCTGAGATCTACGCCGGTGCCATGGCGGCACAGGAGCTCCGCTGGTTGACCTTCTTGCTCACCGACTTAGGTGAGCGGCCAGCTCTGCCCGGTTCTGTACGCTGACAACAGGGCCATGATCCTCCTGTGTCAGGAGCCTCGACTCGAGGGCAGAGGGAAGCACATCCAGTTGCGGTACTTCCTCCTGCGTGAGCTACAGCAGCGCCGCCAGGCCCGCGTAGTACACTTGGCCTCCTGTGCCAACACAGCTGCTATCTTTACTAAGGCGCTTGCGCCTAAAGATCATCAGCGGCACTGTTTGCAGCTTGGTCTAGTTCCTGTAGCTCCTCACTTGCTAGGACCTTGATTGTGTACTCCTCTTTATATATACCTTCTTAACTGGCCTTGTGGCTGCTATTCCAGTGGCCGGACAAGTAGTGCCGCCCTGGTTTGCTCTTGTCGAGTTTGTACTCTTGTTGACTGGTCTTCGGACCCTTAGAGGTTGGACTAGTAGTGCCACCTTGAGTTGCTTGTCTCTTGCCAAGCACTGCCCCTTGTCCAGTTTAGGGATGTGTCAAACATACTTGTATATGTTGCTGTAGCATAGATAGGGGCATGCCTTAGAGAGTACAACACTTTCGGTCAAAACTACCGTGTACCCTTCATTCTAGTTCATTATGTTACTCTGACAACATGCGCCTATATCCGGTTGATTACGGTACATGTTGTCATAGGATATGATACTTGTGCTATGCCCATGGAATATTTTCCCACACCATAGGATAGGTATCGGGTGTTGAATTTGAGTATGCACACCATATTCCACATGTACAATATAAACTAGAGTGTATGCAGAGCTATAGCGTACATAAATATTGTTACAAGTTACAACACATTGCCGAGGAGAAGGGTAACACAAGAAGCGTCATTTTGAGTCGATTGCAAAAAAAAACAATCCCTAGTCAAATTCAAACACTGTAATTTAGCCCTTTCTGTTCTTCTGATTCTTGTCCTTCCCCTTCTTTTTCTCCCCAGCCTGCTTCGTGTTACTCTTGTTCCTCCCTCCAGACCTCACGACCATTCCCTTCCCTCCCTTCTGCCCCAGCTTCTGCAGCTGAGCAGCACCTTGCTGCTTAACGCTCTGCACCGCTCGCTGCACCTCCGTCTTGGCAGCTTTCGCCAGCCGTTTCAGCCAAGCAAACATACCCTCCCTTTCCTTCTCCTCCTCCTCTTCCCTGCTCCACCCGCCGCATCACTCACCCCTCCGAACTTCCTGCCTGCTCCGCGCAACAGATCGCCCACAAGTCCCGACAGGCCAGCACGGCGGGGGCCTTTCTTTGCCCCTTACCACTGGTACCGGTGCTCGTGGGGTACTGGGGGTGGGCTCTGCAACAGTGCTTGTGGTGAAGCCACCCCCTTTCTTAGGTGCACTGCCACCCCCGTTACTAGGTGCACTGCCACCCCACTACTGACACTGCCACTGTTGCCACCGCTGCCACTCCCATCGCTAGTTTGGGAATCCCAGAGCCAGAATCGGCGCTGTTGCTTTCACCTGATTCATCACCTGAAGCACCACCTGAGGAAACACCTGAAGCATCACCTGAGGAGACACCTGAGGAATCCCCTCCACCACCACCTGCCACACTCCCCGACTCTCCTACTGACCCTGAAGCTCCCTGGGGCTTTGCCTGCTTCTTCCTCGCCTTTCCCCCCTTTATAACCTTCTTCGCTATCCCTGCAGCAGCACCAATCGCCTGCACTGCACCGCTAGCAGCGTTGTTCACTGCACTCTGTGCACTTTCGACGGCCTTGCTGACTGGATCCGCTCCTGCTGTTGCCTTGGGGGGGAACTGCTTGGCTGGGGGAGAGTCTGTGGGGTAGTGCCTGTTCCTCCCGTTTCAGATCCCGTTTCAGATCCCGTTTCAGATCCCGTTTCAGTCCCCGTTTCAGGTCCCGTTTTAAGTCCCGTTTCATCTCCACCAGTTGCAACTCCAGTCCCCCCTCCAGTCGTGTCACCCCTGCTCGTTTCATCTCCAGATGATCCGTCTGGGGGGCTCCCTGTAGCCCCTCCGCTGGTGTCATCTCCAGCAGGGGTTGTGTCATCTGCAGGGGAGGTCGTGTCAACTGCAGGGGAGGTCGTGTCATCTTTTGACGGAACCGAACTGCCACTGCCATCTGCCCCAGACGAGTCACTGCACTCGGTTTCATCGCTCCCGTCGCCACAATCCGCAACGCCGTTACACTTGAGCGTTTCATCTATGCACTGCACCTCACTGGAACACTTCCAGTACCCTGCAGGACAATCGTACACCGCACAGTAGTCCTGATCCTCATCAGGGGGAAACAACCCCACACTCCCTCCCACACTCCCCCTCCACTCCCCACTCCTCCTGAATCCAAACCACAGTCCGCCACCCCATCGCACAGCATGCCTGACCCACAGGTCTGGCTGCCGGGGCAGAGCACTTGGTTCGGGGAACCCGGGCAGGTGACGTTGGTTTGGAAGTCAACGCAGAAGCCCGGCCACTCGTCCGCTCCGTAGGGGCAGTCTGGCGTGCCGTCGCACGCTGTAGCGGGGTCGAAGCACCAGAGCTTGTCAGACATGGTGGTCACTGGGCAGGCCATCTGAGAGGGGGGCGTGGGAGGGGAAGGGGAGGAAAGGAGGGGAGGGAGAAGGAATTAATTGATGTAAGAGGGGCGGTCTGGTGTGCCGTCGCATGCTGTCGCAGGGTCAAAACACCAGAGCTTGTCGGATATGGTGGTGAGTGGGCAGGCCATCTGAGAGGGGAGCGGAGAGGAAAGAAAGGGACGGAGACGGGATTGAAGAGGGGTAGTCAGGCGTGCTGTCGCACGCTGTAGCGGGGTCGAAGCACCAGAGCTTGTCAGACATGGTGGTCACAGGGCAAGGTAACTGGGAGGGAAAAGGAGGGAAGGGAGAAATAAAAATTGAAGTGAGCGGGGCAGTCGGGCGTGACGTCGAACGCTGCAGCGGGGTCGAGGCACCAGAGCTTATCGTTATGGTGGTCAATGGGAAGGGTGACTGAGAGGGGCGAGATGGAGACATGGGGAACTGCAAGGGAGAGGCGCAAGGGGAAGAATGCATACTGGAAAAGGGAAGGGAGAGTTGTCTCACGCAGCAGCGGGGTCGAGGCATCAGGGCTCAAGCGGCCTTACCATGCCGGAAGGGCACTCGTTGAGTGCTCCAACACCCCCACTCCCACAAGAGCTCGTCACTGCTGTCCTTGCAATGACTGCCATCACTGCTGTCCTTGCAATGACTGCCATCACTGCTGTCCTTGCAATGACTGCCATCACTGCTGTCCTTGCAATGACTGCCATCACTGCTGTCCTTGCAATGACTGCCATCACTGCTGTCCTTGCAATGACTGCCATCACTGCTGTCCTTGCAATGACTGCCATCACTGCTGTCCTTGCAATGACTGCCATCACTGCTGTCCTTGCAATGACTGCCATCACTGCTGTCCTTGCAATGACTGCCATCACTGCTGTCCTTGCAATGACTGCCATCACTGCTGTCCTTGCAATGACTGCCATCACTGCTGTCCTTGCAATGACTGCCATCACTGCTGTCCTTGCGATGACTGCCATCACTGCTGTCCTTGCAATGACTGCCATCACTGCTGGCCTTGCAATGACTGCCATCACTGCTGTCCTTGCAATGACTGCCATCACTGCTGTCCTTGCAATGACTGCCATCACTGCTGTCCTTGCAATGACTGCCATCACTGCTGTCCTTGCAATGACTGCCATCACTGCAGTCACCCAATAGAGCAGCGGCCTTACCATGCCAGCAGGGCACTCCGTTGAGTCCTCGAACCCCCACACTCGCACTGGAGCTCGGCGCTGCCGTCACTGCAGTCCCCTACGAGTTCCCAAAGTCATCATCAAGAGAGGTACAGCTGCAGCGGCCTTACCATGCCTGAAGGGCACTCCGTTGAGTCCTCGAACCCCCCGCACTCCCACAACAGCTCGTCGCTGCCGTCTTTGCAGTCAGGTGTGTCGTCACACAGCTGGTCCGTGCCCACGCACTGGTCCCACGACGCGCAGTACCACTGGAGGTGATGGGAAGATAGGGGGATCGGAAGCAACGTGCATCAGGTCAGGCAAGGGAAGGGGCGCCCACAGCTGGTCCGTGCCCACGCACTGGTCCCAGGAGGCGCCGTACCACTGCAGAATGCGGAGGATGGGGAGGAGGGGGAGGAGGGGAGGGAGGGAAAAGCGAAAGTGAGAGGGGGAGCAGGACATTGCATGTTGGTGGGAGGAACTAGCAGAGCACTCAAGGCGCCATGGGTAAGACGGCAATAGTGAATGAGACGACTGGGAAACAAGGAGGGGGAGGGGGGGGGAGGGGGGGGGGGGGAAAGCGGAAGAACGCACCATGCTCTCGTTCCGGTCGCACGAGACTGGCAGGTCCTGCTGCTGCACCCACTGCAGCTGCGCCGCCTGCCATGGCAGACAGAAAAGAGACGAAAGAGGGGGAGGGAAGGGGGGCAAAGGGGAAGGTGGGCGGATAAGTGGGCGGATAAGTGGGGGGATAAGTGGGCGGATAAGTGGGCGGATAAGTGGGCGGATAAGTGGGGGGATAAGTGGGCGGATAAGTGGGCGGATAAGTGGGCGGATAAGTGGGCGGATAAGTGGGCGGATAAGTGGGCGGATAAGTGGGCGGATAAGTGGGCGGATAAGTGGGCGGATAAGTGGGCGGATAAGTGGGCGGATAAGTGGGCGGATAAGTGGGCGGATAAGTGGGCGGATAAGTGGGCGGATAAGTGGGGAGAAGTGGGGCAAGACGGACTGCAGGTCCTGCTGCTCTACCCACTGCAGCTGCGCCGCCTGCAGAGACGCATGGGAAATAGAAGAAAGGCGAGGGGGGCGAAGGTAGGGGATAAGAGGAGAGGAGTGGGGCAAGAGGAGGTGAGAGCAGTACCCTCATCACACACACACACATGCATACACACACACACACAGAACCCATCCCCACCCACCCATCCACCCGTTCATGCACCCACCTGAACGAGCGACGGCAGCAGCAGCAGCAGGAGCACAGCAGCGGAAGCAGCAACGGAAACCGTTGCAGAGGCGCCTCGTTGTATCGGCGCCGCCATCACGCCGTTCGATGCGAACCGAATCGGACGGCCGAGAAGGCAGTAGGAAGAGCGGTGATGTGGCTGGCCGGATACCGACGGTTCGATGCGACCGAATCGGACGATAGGCGAAGTTTTTGCGGCTACTAGCGAGTCGCAGCGGCGCAACCATGCGAAATGTTCACGGGTCGCAGGCGTCGCGATCCGCGTTTTTGTTCTGTGTTCTGCCGCCCGGATGGCTTTCAAAGCTAAGTTAGCGCGGCGTTGCGACGACGAGCGTCGGCTGGCTCCGCGGGGAGCGCCGAGAGAGGCGAATTGGGCAAGCCTGTAATTCGAGAGAAGGGGTCAATAGTAGCGCGCCCGTTGTCGGCTCCCGGCGATGCGGCGATGCGCGAGAGGGGAAGAGGCGTCCAACGCTGTCCGACGCAGCGCGGGCGGAAATACGCCAGGAGGCTCTCTCGCTCTCTTCCTGTCTCGCTCTCCCACGCTGTCCCTGTGTCGTCGTGAATCGGACTGATAAGGACAGCGGAACGCGTTCCATAAAAGGGCCTTCCGCGAGAGACGACTCAGACGAGCCGAGAACCCGTGGCGGGAGGTGGCGCACGCTGACGCGCAATGGAGTGAGCCGCTGGCCCCACACTGCCGCGCAATCGGGCGCGATGCATCCTCGACCGCTCGACCGCTCGACCGCTTGGGCGTTGTGATAAGCGCTCGTCCCGTCATCGTGAGGTGAGTTCACTTCACACTGCCTCGCAATCGGGCCCCATGCATTCTCGCTCGCTCGAACGCTCAACCGCTTGATCGCGCGGGCACTCTGATAGGCACGATCGCCCACTCTCACGAATCTCCGCCGCACACACACGATCGCGCGCTCAGGGGCTCTGATAGGCACTTCGGACAGCGTATCTCGGCTCGTAGGTATTGTCGTCCGTACGCGCTATGGTACGCACCGGAGACCAGAAAAGCTAGCGAGATACATACAAGTACAGCGCACCTGTGGTGTACCCCCAACCCACGCGCTGTATGTCATCAGCACAACAGTCATGCTTGGATGGAAGGGAATTGGTGTCAGTGGCTGTGTGTCGGTGGCTGTGTGTGGTGGCTGTGTGTTGGCTGTGTCGGTTTAGTTCGGTCGATGGTGGTGGCGCATTTGCTGTGCCCCGCCCCTCCCCTCGCCCCTCTCCCCCCCTTCCTTGCAATTATCTCCAAATACGCTGCGCTGCTGCTCTCTGTTGCGAACCGCACCCCCTTCAATACAAATCTCCAGGTGTCCAGCTGGCTGTTCGTTCGGTTGGTGGCCGTGTGGCGGCAAAACACCCCGTTTATGAAAACGCCAAAGCATGATCAGCAACTTCGAGACGCAGGATGCTCTACAGGTGGTTTTCAG